ATCCATCTATCCATCCATCTATCCATCTATCCATCCATCCATCCATCCATCCATCCATCCATCCATCCATCCATCCATCCATCCATCCATCCATCCATCCATCCATCCATCCATCCATCCATCCATCCATCTATCTATCTATCTATCTATCTATCTATCTATCTATCTATCTATCTATCTATCTATCTATCTATCTATCTATCTATCTATCTATCTATCTATCTATCTATCTATCTATCTATCTATCTATCTATCTATCTAGCCGCTTACGTTTGGGTGCTCTCATGGTCACCCCCTCAACTTAGCGTGAAACCAAAATTAGCATAAGAGGGTAAGATGGTTTGAAGAATATGACGCACTGGTCAAGACATGCATAATGTCACAATCCCGTCGCGTACGTCGTCAAACACTTCCCACCAGACAATGGCACATACCCACGGGCGGGTATGTGCCGCTGGTATGCGGCTATGTGCCACAGGTGATTGACACTTAGTATCTACTCAGTAACGACGAGAGCACACATGGGCAATTTTAACGCGCGAGCGTTAAGAAATACCCGACATCGGTAGCGTCGACGCGACGAATGCAAAGAATAGATGTCAGGGTCCCAGCTGGAATACCCAAGCATTCTGCGTGGTAATTTATTTATTTATTTATTTATTTATTTATTTATTTATTTATTTATTTATTTATTAGAATACCCTCAGGGCCCGTAGGGCATTACAGAGGGGGTGGGTACAACATTTATAACACACAAGAAAAAAAAGACAAAATAAAGAAACAAGTGTCAGATGCGCAAATCGGGAAGGCAACATAAGTCAACTAAAAATGTATAAGAATTCAAGCACATACAAGACAAAGATAGATAATAGAAACTGCGTATAGTTACAAGCATTGCTGAGAAATTGCAGTCTTGAATAACAAAGGGTCTGTTATTGTTACAACGGAAGAGGGAAGGTGGTTCCAATCGGCGGCTGTTTTCGGTAAGAAGGCTGCTGAAAAGAATTTGGTGCGGCAAAACGGAATGGCAACCTTATGCTGATGATCAATGCGCGATGAGTGGTATGATGGTTGTGAAATGAGGTCTCGCTTCATTGATGGATTGTGAAAAAATATCTTATGAAAAAAATGCAGTCGCGCCAGTTTCCTCCGGACAGTTAAATTGGGTAGGTCAAGGTTAGATTTCATTTCTGATATGCTAGAAGCATTTTACCACTGAGCTACGCCAGGTCTTAAACTACTTTGCAAGTAGACGCTAATCTTCGTCAAACATCAATAGTGGTTGCAGTGCTGCCTGCCCAATTTTATGAACATCACATTCGTACTCCTTTGATACAGCTGTTACGTAACGTTAACGTCAATTGTGGTTAGTTGCCGTGACCTGAAGTTGATGTATGTCGCAGTCAGTGTCCAGGGCCAGCACCCTCGCGGGCATCAGCGCTTCATATCAGCTTCTGGTGGTGCTAATACGCATGTTCCAGTTGGCATCGTTGTGCAAGTGCAAACTACTGGTTATATAAACATCTGCAACTCTTCAACATATGTCTGTATGTGCAACATTTGTACATATACTTAGCGTCATTTCATCACGTGTTCTCAATAAAAAAAATTGCAACACGCTCACCTTCCCTCCGCATGCTTCGCATAACGTCGATTACCAGGTACGTGGGATCTGCCGAATATTTTTGTTTTCGTGATACCTGTATTTATGCCGATAGGTTTGCTTTGTTCTTTTTCTTTGAACTTGTGTTCCCTATGGCTCCGTGGCTTCACTTGTGCTCGTAAACTTGCAACTGTATAATATCCCACCTGCATGGTCCTTTATGACTACACTATACTGAAAAAAAAAATCAGAGCATATCCAAGGAGTGAATAATGATGAATGGGGCGAAGCGTCCGCCCGTCCGTCCATCTATCCGTCTATTTGTGCTTCCGTCTGTGCTTCTGTCCATCCATGCGTCCGTCCGTCTGTCTGTCCATGCATGCGTCCGCGTTCGAATGGGAGTGCTAAAAAAGCCGCCGGGTAGTCCACTTCGGCGCTTTAATATTGCAAACCCTGAGTGCGATTTCGCTTTAAGACTGCCGAAAATTGTGCGCGACACGGAATGAAGAGGCTAAGAAGGGTAGTGGGGTAGAGGCTTGTTGGTTCTTGGACTGTTTGAATATACGCCATGTTAGGAACGGCACTGCGCCTAAAGCGCATAAAGGCTTCAGACATTTTCCCACAGAGATATAACATTCTCAAATATTGAAGGCCATCTCAAGAAGACGACGAGGTGGTATCTTCAGGGAACAACGAGGGTGGCGCCTCACTTGGTAATGGTTGTCACTCGCTTTGACAGAGCCATGGCCATTGTTTCCCCTTCATGGGATATTTTGTAGTCGTTATTTTAAATACAAAAGTTTGATTATGTGGTTAGCACTGCCTACATGAGACAGCCAGCTATAACTACAATTATATTTTATCTTACTCTGCAATTATTTCGCAAGAAGGGTTACGGGCGTAATTAACCAAATGTACGCAGAGTATAACAGTGAAAGTCGTTGCACGGAAAGAAGTTCCAAAACTCCCATTAGAATATATCTTGTGTGAGGCAGGTATCTTTGCAATAGTCAAATAGTGAACAGTTCTTCGTTTATGTTAAAGGCATAACTAACCGAAACGGACCCGGCCGAACCCAAACCTTCCGTGTTCGGGCCGACTACGGGCCGTATTTAAAAACACCGAGCCAGGCACGGGCGGGCCGGAGCATGAAGTTTTCGGGCATGGCTGGGCACGGACCGAAAAAAAAATCGGCCCGTGCAATGTTCTAGTGAGAATGACTTCCGCAGGAGAATGTCATTTATGGCATTCCCTGATGTTCGAGACCGCTGTTATAATAAAAGAAACCTCAGCACAGAGAATTCCCTCTCCGCGCTGGCCTGACTAACACACGAAGATCTTTAATTGCGAATATTAATGGTCACGTAGTCGTGACGCCAAAAAGGTAGAAATCGGCTGTTTCAAGATGAAACAGGGGCAGGGAGTTCCGCCGTACCCCTGCGTCACTCTCAAACCTGTACGAATATGCCTTAGTATCATCACTCGCCTGAAAGCTACATTTCTAATAGGAAGGTTTGCAGAATGGAATACGTTAATGGAGACTTGCTCACGTAGCCTGTGTGCCAGTGCTGAACACCCACGAAATAAAGTTGCAAGCACCTCGAATTTTTAAGTCGGATTACCAGCACCCTAGAAACAGTTTCGTAATTCAGGGTGAACTGCAATTCTGCCAAAAAAAAAAAGCGTGTGAAACAAAACACCACAACCACACGCGCGGTTCCTCGAAACAGAAGAGCGATCGACGTACCTTTTCTTAATTTTCTTGTGGCAAAAAGTATACGTCGGCAGACGCGTAGAATCAGACTACGAGAGCATCGTGACAAACGACAAGCCATCATACAGCTGGTCATTTAGGCGAACATTGTGGGAACTGGGGATGCACGCCTCTAATGCGCGTCATCATCGCTCAGGTCCTTCCTCAGCTGGTCGAATCAATCGGCAGAAGCCACAGGATGACTACGAGAGAAAATATCAAAGCCAAGCAAATTGCTACAGTAGGGAACGCGGACATAAACGCTGTATCGATGGAACTTTTAAGCGAAGAACTTCATTTTTTGAGGCAAGCGCGAAAACGTAGACATCAGTTAAGGTGGCAAAGCGGAGCTCTTGAAGATTGCGCCCCTGCAACATTGTACACCTAGCGGTGAGTCCACGCTCTTGCGCGGTGTGTGTATATGCAAGGTTCTTTACTTTTTTTTATTAAAGCTATCTGTTATGAAGTCACCACTTCGTTCCATCTTGCGCATTTAAATGTGCCTATAGGCGTGTCCAGGCTCCATAAAATGGAGGGGGGCGTGTCACTGGCCCCCTTCCTTATTCGAATTGGTTTTTTCCGAAAGAATTAAGTCATCGATGAAACAATGAAGTAATTCTCACTGCGACCTGTTTCTGGTCCCTGGTTTTCCAATGGTAAGAGTGGGAGGTAAGTACCCGAAAGGCCGCATATCGGCCACCATATTATTGGCAGAAGCCTGCATGGCCATATCAGTGGCGAGAGAGGACCAACTGGGTAAAGGTATAGGGCGGACTTGCCCCATCCCTTTAAGGACTGAGGGGGAGGACTGTTCTCCTCCTCTGAGGTGCGCGCACCTGTGGTCATTTTCATGTGATAAAGTTGTAATACGAACTCTCATTAGACTCGTGGCGGTGTAAATGTTTTAGTAATGTTCAATAGTAGACGCATACGTGAATTATACCCCCTTTTTTTACACTGGACACAACGTCCGCTACGGGCACATATACCTTCAGTTGGTCAGCCGGAAGGAGAGCATGACTGGCGATTCCAAGAATGCCTGTCACAATAGTCATCATCATCGTCATCATACTGACTACGTCCACCGCAGGACAAAGGCCTCTTCCATGTTCCGCCAGTAAACTCGGTCCTGTGCTTGCTGCTGCCAATTTACACCCGCAAACTTCTTAATCTCATCTGCCGACCTAACATTATGTCTCCTCCCAACCCGCTTGCCATCTCTGGGAATACATTTAGTTACCCTGAATGACCAGTGGTTATCCTGTCTACGCGCCCTATACCCGGTCCATGTCCATTTCCTCTTCTTGATTTCAACTATGAAATCCTTGACCACCGTTTGTTCCATAATCCACTGTGCTCTCTTCTTGTCTCATAAGGTTACACCTACCATTTTGCTTTCCACTGCTCGCGGCGTCATAACAGTAGAGCCAGCGTAATCAACCCTCTCTGCGAAGTGTCTCCAGCGGACTTCTTTTAGCGAGCGCATGACAGAGGCACCGAGACTCTTTGCTCTGCGACGTTCCAAGGCGACTCGTTATCCGCCTCGCGGCCCGTAGGAAACAAAGGAAGAAGAAAAAATAAGGGACGCAACTACGAGTGCATACGTGACGTGCGGGGCAACGGAAGCGAGGCACGTGCGTGCCACGGCGCGGAGCTTTTGATGTAACTGCAAAAGCGCCGCGCCGGCGCTACGACGCCATACCAGCCGTCGTGCACGCGCGTTTTCTCATCATCGCGGTAAACGAGGTCACGTCGCATCGTGAAAGCGCCGTGCATGCCAAGTTCGAGACCATTGTGTGCATGTGTGCGACTGAATCCGTCTGCCCCCGTGCGCTCCGGCCACGTCGCGGTTTAGAATACGGACGTCGCTCTGTCGCGCACGCCGTGACAGGCGCGACGTATACGTTTTCCAAGGAGCCGTTCGTTCGAAGCTCGTCAGAAGACAAGGGGACCATCGCAAGTATCCTGGATTACGTGAAGGAGGTAACATCTTCCGTCGAAGACATGTCGAACAGCAATAGCTTCGTGACAGGCGCACGGACTACTTCTATGACTGCTTCATGACTGGAATTGGCGCTGTTATCAGCAGTGGTGTAAGAACGCTGGGCACGGAAAAAGTGTGGCCTTCTCTGGGTTCGTTGTCCGTACAGGTAAGCAGCAATGGTGCTGATCGCAAAGCTGTGTTTTCATGATACTCTAATTCTTTTTTATATTTCATCACGTATATATATGTTTCTAAAATTCTGTACTTTTGCATTCTTTTTGTTGTTTTTGTTAACGTGTATCAAAATTGGCATGCATAGTTTCTCTTCGTAAGGGCGTTTCTCGTTGTTCTAAAGCGCAATTTATATGTGGGGTTTAACGTCCCAAAAGCACCATAGGATTATGAGAGACGCCGTAATGGAGGGCTCCGGAAATTTCGACCACCTGGGGTTCTTTAACGTGCACCCAAATCTGAACACATGGGCCTATATCTTTTCCGCCTCCATCGGAATTGTAGCCGCCAAAGCCGGGATTTCAGCCCGCTAAAGCGCAATTAAGAGTGGCGACTTGCAAGTAGACATCCACCAGCCAGAATTGTAGTAGACTGCCAGATAACATCATCACCATCATCATCATCGTCATAATCCTGACTCCCCCCATTGCAGGGAAAACGCGTCTCCCACGTTTCGCCAAAATAATCCACTTCTGTGTTACCCGGGGCCAAGTCATTCCCGCAAACTTCGTGTCATCTGGCCACCTGATATCCTTCAGCCACTCCAACGTGCCCTGTCCTTCCTCTTCGAGTCAGGCTTGTCACCCTAAACGACCGTAGATTATCTTGGTGTCTCGTTACACGTCCTGTCCATGCTTGTTCCATCTGCTTGATTTCGACTACGATGTCATCAACGCGCTCTTCTTCCCTGACCCACATTCGGATCTTAGCAGCGTGTCATTACTATGAGCTTGTCTCCGTGCATACCATATTTCATCTTTCGTGTCCCAGTGGGCCGTTACTGAATGTATATCGAAGAGAAAAACGTGTCTCTAATCAGGCGATCGTACACGTCCAGCTCCTCGGGATACAAAGAAACCTCGATAACAGGCACTGCATCACTATGATATGCGCTGTTGTATAGTTCACTTAGCCACTGTGTTCGCTAACAAGGCGATCCCGAGAACGCCCACCGAAAATGCGACGTCATCAGCGGGCCACGCCAATGGTCGTTGAGAAAGCAAGGAGCTGCGGTGATAATTGGACCACGAAAAGTGAGGTATACTGCGGGAACATTCTTCATACTGTGCCGCGTTTTTGTAGTGCGTGCGAGAATTGCAGGGCACTCTAGAGCATATATTGACACTGAGCATGAACACACACACACACACACACACACACACACACACACACACACACACACACACCAATACATGCATACATACATACATACATACATACATACATACATACATACATACATACATACATACATACATACATACATACATACATACATACATACATACATACATACATATTTTCCTCTCTCTTATGCACCTAACCTACCGAAACATTCTGTATGTCTGTCTGATATGTTATTTTGAAGGCAAAATCCTTAGATGTCTCGTGAAATGCCAGTTAAGTGACCGTCAGCGTCAACTCGAGTTCTGCAAAAGACTGCCGTGACTTCTCCATGATGACTCCATGAATCGAATCCGCTTTCGATCCCCGTACCAGGATAGTGCATTTTGATGAACAAAAATGAAAAAAAAAAAATCTAGACAGCTTCGCACTAGTCGCGCCAAGCCTGACGGAAGTATGCCTGCTTTTTCTTCATCTTTCATTCTTCTTTTCGTTCTTTCCCTCCCCTTTTTATTTCGCATTTTTTTGTCTCTGCTTATTTCAATTGGGCATTTCTTTCTCTGCCCACTCCTTTCTCTTTCAGTCTATATTTCTCCTAATTCCTTCTCTGTCTCTCTCTCTTAATTTTTCTTTTATTATATTGCTACCTTTATCTCTCCGTCTTCCTTTTCGTACTCGTTCCCTCGCAAATCACAGTTATTGCATTCCATACCGGACAAATCCAAGCACGTGTTCTGGGAGCGAAACAGTGCAAAGAGGACGAGAACGACGAGGAGGGAGAATGGGAAGAGTGCGCTAGCTCGTTCAAGATGATCATGATGAAGTGAATTTCTTGCTCTGCACACACTGATAATCTGCTTCAACAACGACAGCCCTACTGTTCAACCAAAATGGCGTGCCTCTACATAGTTTTGGATACCCGTCATTGAACCACAAGCTGTAAAATTAAGTGGCGTTAGTTACCCTCGTTGTTTTGTTTGGTAATACCCGCAGTCGTACGCACGGCGGGGGGTGTTGGCGAGAGGGAGGGGCGCAGTACTAGCCCCATACATTCATATAATAGTGAAGGGGGTGGGGAAGGCACTGCGACGACCCTTCATCTCCCTTGAAGAGGAACCTTGCCCCGCCGCTGTGGTCTGGTGGTTACGGCACTCCACTGCTAACTCGAAGGTCGCGGGATCGAATGCCGGCTGCGGCGGCTGTATTTTCGGTGGAGGCGAATATGTTGGAGGCGTCTATTTCTTATATTTAGGTGCGCGTTAACAAATACCAGTTGGTGTGAATTTCCGGAGCCCTCTGCTACGGCGTCTCTACTAACCATATCGTGGTTTTGGGGCGTTAAACCCATGGATGATAATATCATGAACGGCAACCCTGCGCCCGCATATGGTAACACCCTAGACGTAATATCCTTTTTAATTCAATCCTTGCACAGATTATGTTTCCGGGATCAAATGACGGGTCGGTATTTCGAGGACATGGGCGTACCTGTGCTTTTTCAAACTTGCTCTCAACGGTAGAGAAAGACAAAAGTAAAAAAAGAGCATAGCAGGCGCGTGGTTGGCATTTACAGCTGCACTTCCATCAGACTTACGGCGTCAGTGGCAATCTACCGCATATTAATCTGCCGCGCATATTCGCGAAGCGGTGGAACGGGAAGTTGATCGCGTTCCAAGTTTGCGTCGCCTTCATTTGCTCTGCACTCGCAGCCAAGGTCGTCCCGACCCAACGCAGTGGTGAGTGAGATTGCGCGCATGCCGAACTGTTGTAAGGAACGGTCATAATGTGCAGATATCGCAAACATGGGTGGTTATCGTTTCCTGGATCTGTTGTGGGCAATTACTCGGGCTGCATGGTATGATGTACCGGTTCAGCTGCTGTCCTCAGCATGGTTAACACGAACGCCACTCAGAGTGGCATAGACTCGTTTGACCAGCGCCTCATCCTCATCGGAAAGCAAAGGAGCTTCGCTTTACGGCGTCCTCTTTATCGCAGATAAACGAGCCGAAAGAGTGGTCACTTGATGCGTGCTCGAACGTTGCGAGCGGTGGAGAGGGTGAAGTGAGAGAGAAAGGTGACACGTGGTGAGCGCGGGGCAGGAGAGGGAGAGAGTAACGTCACCGCGCACTGTGAGAGAAGGCGTCACCTGCTTGGCACCACCCCAACACCTGCGGCGAAGGGAGCGCGGTGTGCGCGTTGGCACGTAGACGCGGACGGACAACGTTACACAGGCTATTCAAAGCACTGCTTCGCCTCTGAAAAAAAAAAAACACGCTTCGTGCATTCCTTATCGGCAGACGGGGGCAGCAACGCTCGCAGCAACGTTTGGTGCACGATAGTACCGGTAAGCGGCGGATAAGCTATCCTTTTAAATACTAGCTGTTTGTTGCCATGCTTTCCCCCGGCTACCACTGCTTTGGAAAACAGAACTCGCGTGGTGGCCAGTAGGCGCAATCTAACTAACTTTCACTTTTCAGCCCAGTTTTTGTGATGTCGGCTGTTAGGGCGGCAAAGAAAAGTGCCCTGAGATTAAAAAGACACGTGAACACGCTTCATGGGTCATCGCTCGTCAAATGATTGTGACATTCTAGTGTGTGTGTGGTGTGTGTGTGTGTATGTGTGTGTGTGTTTTCGCTTCCCTCCCGCTCTCTTTCTCTCACTCCATTTTTCTTACTTTCCTGTCTCTTATTTCCCCTCCTCCAGTGCAGGGTAGCAAACCAGACATTTGCTTTCCGGTTAACTTAATTCCCTGCCTTTCTTCATACCATTTCTCTCTCTCTCTCTCTCTCTCTCTCTCTCTCAGGTGACGGACATTCTTGCTTCTTGCCAAGAAGGGCAACGTCTACGATCGCACCAACTCAGCTTTGCTCCTTACACTCACTGCCCTATGCATTCTGTCGCTGCTGGGATGACGTTCGAGTGCACCTTGTTGGGAGCAGCACCGCATATCGCAAATTTGCCGCTCAAGCCGCGAGTCACTTGTGCTAATCGTGTTCAGTTGCGACTATACGTACAGCCCTGGTCAAAAGTTCGGTCAAATACACAGGATTGGGGCCTGGGAACTTTTGACACCCCCCTAACCTGTACGTACCGCTATGACACTGTTCATAACCTTAGATGTGTACAGTGCACACGGATCGAGACGTGACATGAAAACATATAATATTACGACTGATATGCACAACTGTTAGATATACCCACCTGAAATCGCTACGAAGTCTGGCTGATAGATGTATTGTTGGTTTTGAATTGTTGAAGTCGAAATGGCGCCGATATGACACAGACTGAATACAGTAGAAGCGGAAGTACATGCATTGATTAGCCCTGGACTGCCACGTTTCCACCTTAGAGCACTGTACTTATCTGCAAAACGTATCTGTAGCACACACATCTTTCAAAACAATCGTAGATCTTAGCGATATGTGGTCCTTGTCCCTTAGAAGACCCCTAAACAGTCTCTAAAATACAAAAAAAGAAAGAAAACGAGCGCGCTATCATCTGTTATCGTTTCCGGTCTTTGCGGCACAATTTGTGGCGTCAGAAGTTTGCTCACATGACGTTAAGATCAAGTTAGCTACCGACTGGTCAATTATACGAGAGATGCCAGTCGTGACTGGTCTCGTGCCCCGCTTTTTCACGCAGTCGCGTTCTGACCTGTCCCGTATACGACTATCGCGCGCGATAAACTGGTTTTACTTGGTTTTCTGCATTTGCGACTGCGCAAGCGGCGATAGGCGTGTAGTCGAAAAGCGTGAAATTCCGACTGGCTCAAACCCCGCCGCGGTGGTGTAGTGGCTAAGGTACTCGGCT